CAGCCAAGACCGTCCTTCCCGGGAACGGGCGGACGCGCCTCCTGGCACCAGCCAAGCTAGGGGTGTCTGCATGGGCAGCCCACCCCCAGCAGCCACGCCGCCCGGGTCACAGAGGGCAGCTCAGCCGGGGTGGGGGGAGGGTTCAGCGCAGGGGCCAGGCGCTCGCTCTGAAGGCTCCCGCCCCCGTGAGGGCTGCCCACGCTGTCCTCTCCTCCACGACAGGCTCAGAGGGGCCGGTGCCTTGCTCAAGGCCACACCGCCCCTGGCACTCGCCCCTGCGCCCTACACACGCTCCCGAGCCTCCTAGCCCCTCCCCCTGCCACGCCAATCAGAGGGCATCAGAAACGGGTCCAGGACAACCGGGATCCACACAAACCGCCAGGCCAGCTCCTGCTCGCCTGGACCCCAGCCCTTATCCAGGAGGGCCCTCCGCTGTCTGGCCCAAGTCACTCCCGCTGCAGCCCCTGCCCTCACCGCCTCCCCCACCCCACACTCGGCATTGAGGGCAGGCAGAGGCCCTTTCTCAGGGAAGCTGTCCCATGGGGTCCCTGCAGGACCAGCCTGGCACCACCCATCGCCCTCCCAGTACCCGAGCTCGTTGGCGCCGGGCAGCCCTGGGCAGCTCAGCGGGCTCCCTGCTGGCCGGTGCTGTCCCCCCGGGCGGTGCTGGGCCCAGGCCAGGACAGCAGGACAGATCTGAGCAATAAGCCCCTCCCAGAGCCAGGGCAGACCTGGGCTTCAGCAAACACCCTCCGTCCCCTCTGGACAGGCGGCTGCTGCCCTGTCCGTGGTGCTGACCGGAGCTCAGCCGCCACACCTCCACCGCCAGGAATTAGGGGGAGGGGAGGTTGGACCAGGCGAGCCCCCAGGCTCCCCCAGGTCAGGACACCCCATATCTGACCCCCGGCTGAGGCTGGTGTCTCTGGGGGCGGCTGGAGGTCAGGCGCCCTGTGAGCTGGCCTCAGGCACCTGCTCCCGCTGACCATCAGGACTGTCCCCGCCCGTCACAGGGAGATGCCCGCACAGGCGGACGGGTCCTCCCCAGACCCCTGCG